AGATATTTCGTGCATAGCATGCTTTTCCTGAACCTTGCCAATCACGTTACTGTCTAAAGGGACAAACAATTCAATGAAATAAAAGATTCATTGGCTTTATCAAAAAGGACGACATCAGGTTTATTGGCTGGATTTTTTCTTTGTCTGTATGTGGGCCTATTCCAAAGACGTTTGAAAGCACTGGACATGTTCAGGGTCGTACCATGGATGGACCTCGATTTCAAAGCCACAGGCATGGCGAAGGCCGCATTAGAAGCAGAACATTTTGGAGATTGCGAGTAGGAAAGCCCTCAGTTTCACGTTTAGACCACCCGACTTCATCCAGATGAAGGAGTAGATTACTGTTCTGTTCAACACACTGCATGTACACACAATGAAGTGATTCCTCAGAAATCTTCTCCCCAAATGACCGGCTCCCATCACTGTACCGTCTAGTGATGGGATACATCGACATCAACAAAATCAACCGCAAATTTCAGAACATGACCAACAACCATGACACGCTTAAAATAGTTGTTGAATTCTGTCATGAAGAGGTTCCACATGAATCAAACCCCGCTCTCCAGAATAGGTTGGCATATAACGATTAAGAGAGGACCGAGGGTGGTGGGCTCTGTTATCAGACATTATCCTTCTGGTCAGGTGGTCAAGACTCTGGATATCTTGTTTAGTCCAATGAACTACTCCAAAGGAAAGAAAAAGTGGCACAGCAAAAGTATTGGTGGCTTTGATCTTGTTTCGAGCATTTAGCTCTGAGCTCCAGTTTTTATTTAAGCATCATTTATACTCGGCCTGAAGTTTGTCGGGAATTTGGGCATTCTGGATCTTGTCTCGAACTTGCATTCCAAGATGGGTGTAGTCCTGATCTTCCATAAGATCCAACATTAATTACCTGGCCACGTTTCAAATATTTATTATTAATTTATTATATTTGTTCACATGATATACATGAAATGGTAAAACTGGAGGCTGAAGGATAAGTCAAATGTTCATGACTGTTGATAACTGCTGTATAATTGCGTGAAGAACTCCTGTGTAGGTTAAAAGATAGTTTCAACAGTTTTAAACGTTTCGAATGACAGGAATGGTTGCATTGTGTGCAAAATAGTTTTATGAGTCATAAAACATGTACTAAGAAACTAGACTATCATATATTTTGTACAAGGATACCCTTTTTATTTATATATTCCAGATGGATTGTTTATGTGTGAATTTCCACCGACCCTTCGTAAATCCTTATAGTGGACAAAACTCTTCTCGGTAATCATTTGTAATCTTAACATCTTGCAAATAATTGTGAAAACATCAAAGGGTCCAGAAATGGAAGTATTAAAAAGAGAGTATTCCCCATATAGGGTAGGATACACAGGTGATTATTTTTGTGATAACCGCACACGTGCTTTTCAGTGATTCTCATCGTTTATTGGTCAGCTAAGCAGAGAAGAAATATGATTGGTTGACGGAACTACCTTTCTTGATCTAGGTTCATTGACAACTTTCATTGATAATTAGAACGTGCTGTACTCACACATTCCGAGATTTCAAAAAGAAAAATATAAAGGTTAAAGAATATGAATACTCTTTTTTTAGACATTATTAATTTGCAATAAAATTGCGTCATAAATAATAGTCTTTTTAAAATAAATAACCTTTAAAAAACACAAAAACTATTGTTTGCATTGTTTGTAAACAAACATGGCCGCTATTACGCAAATCCCGATCAAGGTCAGTGACCTAGTTAAAGTGGAAGGCGATCTAATAGGAAGAGTGATAAGAATTTTACAGCCCTTGAATTCCTTCAACCTGTTTGTTGTTAAAACTGAATTCGGGGAAATAGAAGCAGCAAGATACCGACTAAAGGTGCTACCTGAAAGTGTGTCAAGTGAGTCTGCTACGGCGTCTAATGCCATCGAACCAGAAAACAGCTTTCTTACCGGAATCAGTGCTAAATGATCTCTTCAAGATTACCTTTTTGATCTATGCATTCCTAATCAATCCGAAATCCTAATCTGCTCCAAAGAGGCTTATTCTTCCCATTTACTCGGATTCCTACTAGAGTTATCCTTCTTGGAACTGCTGTACTCTACTGTGACCAGTGACGTGACTGTAACACGCCTTCCACATAACAAAATGTTGTTTAATCTTCAAACTTGTTGAGTTTCTTGACAGAAGACTTTTCTGGATGTATTCGTGGGATGGTTGTCTTTTAGATTTACCAACTTTTAACCGTTGACTTTCCCAAAATTTGACAGGTTTTTGCCAAAGTGTGTTTCAACACTACACCGTCACCCATCACTAGACACACGTCAGTCGTGAATGAACGATGTTCCGGCGTACTAACTTGATCAAATAACGTTTTAGCTGTTATTAAGTTAAATAATATTGCAATTAAAAGATCATTTTTATCATATTAACATATGTTAATAACTTATTCCATAAAGATATTGTTGTTGTATTTTAAAGCGACTTTGCTAGGTACTATTTTCTACAGCGTAGTTATGTTATTACCGCTGGAAAAGTAAGGTTTAATACGCGCATGAATACGAATCAGCTGTTTGACGTCACAAGTCTTAGTTGTTTTTATTTAGTGGTTCTTCTTTTTAAATTACATCATGGGTAATAAATAGAATAACCAACTCGGTACGAGTGATTACGGGGAATATACCCTCGTTAAAATGATGTTCAGTGCCTCGCCAAGGCGAAGGCTCGGCACTGTGAACATTATTTCAACGAGGGCATAGTTCCCGTAATCACTTGGGTTATTCTTTAAATCATGTTCCACACTCTGACATTGTATTTTGAAGTTGTGTGTATCATCAATGTGTTTTGTGCAGGTTTTTATTATAATGGGACATTTATACATCCAGTTGACGTATCAAATATATTTTTACCTCTCTTCACATTTTGGGCTTTACCTCGACCCTTTCTTTAACGTTTAAGCTTAATATCTGATGGATGTGGTAGAATGGGAATATATGGTTGTATTGTCCCATAGGGGTTCCGTTTCTTCACGACTCCAAATATGTAAGTGTTTCAGAATGTGCAAATGCACTCTTATAATTCAAGCCAATCATTTCTTCGAACTCAGCACTGAAATAACATTCTAGTAGATGGCACAGGTCTTTTAGTATATCATCGTGTGATTCAATTGTTCTGCCATCTACCTGTTCATGGGTTTACAGTTTCTTGATTCCAGACTTTTGCGTTACCCTTTACACTATCCATTGTGTTTTTCGTGTAAAATTAGCGTTTGTATTTGAGATTTGTTTCTTCTTCTATTTCTTAAGTGACTATTTGTATCCCGTTAAGATCCCTTAAGTCCTCGAATGCTCTGGAGATTAATCTTATTTCCCAAAACGTCGATTGTTATCTTCATTTTCATACTGCTGTTTTGTTTCATCTATTTCCGTTTTCATAATAGTGGGCAACCTATTATCGGAAATTAAAAAGTAGTCCAGACGGGCATGTTTCCACGACCTGGGTTGTCGCCATGTATAGCTTTTGCTAAATGGGTTATATTCACCCCTTACATACATGGGTTTCATTGAAGTAGGCACATGATAGTTTCGAAATTGAACAATGGTCTCTGCTCTTAGAAGAGATTTTAAAAAAGGATTTTGTCAGTTGTATTTACCTGGGATCGTCTCCGGAATTGTGATTGTGGTCAGGGTGTCCCCTCTTGAAGTGACTTGGACTGCATTCCTGTATTCATCTGTATGAAGAAAGGTATTATAATTGTAATAAACCAGAGTTGCGTCCCTTAGGCTTGGTGTTTCTGCATCACGGCCGTGCCTGCTGGTTTCACCTCTACGACACGACGTGATGTAACAGGAATAATGAGGCAAAATCAGCTCATTCATTTTTAACAGTCATAACTCAATTTTCAAGCAATGCTTATTAAATGATATCAGTATTCTTGCGGTATAAACGCATGACAAATAACAGATATATGTCAGAAGCCTTATATAAATACTTATATCCTGTCCATATTTGTAAGACTCTGATCTGATCTAATAGAGAGCAGAGATGTGTGTTATCCATATTTGTAAGACTCTGATCTGATGTAATAGAGAGCAGTGATGTGTGTTATAAATTATATTTCAATATTTGATTTCTCCAAGTGTGAAGTTTCTTATTTTGATCAGTGGATTTAGACTAACATGGCTTTCTTTAGACTTTTGACCAACCGAAATAATCCAGCGTAAACCAGCATGTTCTAGTATGTTCCATCAGAGATATATAGAGCCATGGCTTACAAATATGAGGTGATGTGTTGTGGTGGTATATGTGTATGGTATGCTGAGGTGAGGTGTGATGTGATGTGATGTGGTGTGGAGGTGAGTTGAGGTGAGTTGAGGTGAGTTGAGGTGAGTTGTGTGATGTGATGTGATGATATGTGAGGTGATGTGATGATATGTGAGGTGATGTGACATAAGGCGAGGCGAGGCGAGGCGAGGCGAGGCGAGGTGAGGTGAGGTGTTGCGGTGGTATATAGAGAATCTCACCCACGTGTCTACTGATATCAATTATATCAACACGAGTTGATAAAGTTACAAATATCCGAGGATTGCCGAGTATATTTTGACTTTTATCAACGAGTGTTGATATAACTGATATCAGAAGACTCGAGGATGAGATACTATTTATCATCAAAAATCACTGTTCATTGGTTTTCAATGAAAAATATACAACTCTGAACACGGTACTACCATTAGACTTTCAGTGCAGCGATGTCATATCATTATAACGTCATCAAGTTCATGACGTCATAGCATTGTCAGGGCATTGTACAAAATCTATTGACAATACGAAATCTCCTGTGGAACCCAGTTTTGGATGATAAATGTGTATGGCATGCTGAGGTGAGATGTGGTGTGGAGAGGATGTGGCAAGATGTGGTGTGGAGAGAGGTGTGGTGAGGGGTGCTGTGCTGTGGTGTGGAGAGAGATGTGGTGAGTTGTGATATGGCGTAGATAGTGATGATGCGGTATAAGATTTACCTCTTTCTGGATTCTCTGGCACTTGTCTGGAGTGTCCAGATCCCACTGATCCTGGTTGAGCAGGGTAAACTAAAAACAAGATGCAACTATTTTAATTTACATTCCATGGTAACACTGATATCACATATGTAGTCTTCACTTATATTATTGGTTCCAATATGATTTGTGGGCGGTGGGGTAGCCTAGTGGTTAAAGCGTTCGCTCGTTACGCCGAAGGCACGGATTCGATTCCCCACATGGGTACGATGTGTGAAGCCCATTTCTGGTGTTCCCCACCGTGATATTGCTGGAATAATGCTAAAAGCGGGGTAAAACTAAATTCACTCACTCTAATATGATCTGCTTGAAGGTACGGGTACGTCAAGCTTTGAGAAAGGGTAAAAGTACGTCTCCTTAGACTCATCAGTTCCACGTCTGATACAATTCCCGACATTGGCTCTATCTTCCCTTGCACATTTCAGGCTTGCTTTTACATGTGTTTATGACAGGTGCCACCGATGAGACAGGAAACGCTCACCTTTTCACGAGCACCTATTTTCAAGATATACTTTGTAAGAGAACCATATGAAGTGTACTTCCTACAAAGACTCTGCTTTTAAGAGAAATATCTGATTCAAGTGGAAGGGTTTAGTTGCTTCATTATTCCGTTAATAAATAACTGTTACTGTTTGTGGCACGTATGGCCCTGTGGTGTATAGTGGCGCGTTTCGTTATGCAGAGTTGCGCCCCTTAGGCATGTCAGGAAGCTATGACCGTAGGGCCCAAATAGAGACCAGCCGTGATTATGCTTCATAGTATGTCATCTTCACTGTGCTTGTGGATATAACCAAGAAGGTACACACATTATACTTGTATTACTTCAAGTTACAAACTCATTAAGATCGGCTTCGGTGACAACCATTATTGGCATGAGTATATGTTCTGTTGACATGTCTGAAATAGCATGCAATAATGTTCAAAGGTTAACGGAAGTCACTGATTCACTAAATCGTCAGGCTGACAGTGCTACACATTGTTGTCATACGTACATCTTGACAATGAATTATTACAATGTTACATCTACACATACATAGGGACGCTGGTGTAGCCTAGTTGTTAAAGCGTTCGCTCGTCACGCCGAAGACCAGGGTTCGATTCCTCACATGGGTACAATGTTTGAAGCCCATTTCCAGTGTCCCCCGCAGCGATATTGCTGGAATATATTGCTAATAGCGGCGTAAAACCATATTCACTCACTCACTCTACACAACCATAATATTCTCTGATTCTATCTCAAAGTAATGTGAATATAATTAGTCATTTAATGAATACTGAAGGTTCATTTAACATATGAAAGCAATAACATCAATACTTGAAAGGCTTCCAATGTTAGCACTGCCAAATGTTATCGGCGCCACGGCCTGTCGGTCCTTTACCGCGGTCAAATTGACGGTCGACCCTGAAACATGAAAGTTTTTATCAGGAGTGTAACGTAATGACAAACAATGTTTATGGCATTATGGGGACAATTACACACTGGTGTGTGTGTGGTATGGTGTGTGTTTGCTGTTTTGTCTACTGCTGTCTGTGGCCTTATTTGCGGTGTGTGACGTGTGTTTCCTGTTTTATAAGGCGTGGCGTGGAGTGGAAGGCGTGGCGTGCTGCGGCGTGCCGCGGCGTAGCATGTCCTGGTTGGTGTGCGTTTGATGTTTTGTGCAATCTGGTGTGGCGTGGTATCAACTCGTGCGCTGTGGTCCGCAGTGTGGTATCGGATGGTGAGGTGTAGAGTGGTTATATTCAAGTGATGTGGAGAGGTGTGGAATGGTTATTGTCGTGTGGTGTGTTCGGCAGTGTGGTGTCGGAAGGTGAGGTGTGGAATGGTTATTGTCGTGTGGTGTGTTCGGCACTGTCGTGTCGTATGGTGAGGTGTGGAGTGGTTATTGCGATGTGCTGTTGTCGGCAGTGAGGTGTCGGACGATGAGATTTGGTGTGGTTATTGTGATTTGCTGTGGTCGGCAGTGTGGTGTTGGATGATGAGGTTTGGAGTGGTTATAGTGATGTGGTGTGGTCGGCAGTGAGGTGTCGGATGATGAGGTGTTGAGTGGTTATTGTAGTGTGATGTGGTCGGCAGTATAGTGTCGGATGATGAGGTTTGGAGTGGTTATAGTGATGTGGTGTGGTCGGCAGTGTGGTGTCGGTTGGTGAGGTGTGGTGTTGTTATTGTGGTGTGGTGTGGTCGGCAGTATGGTGTTGGATGGTGAGGTGTTATGTTGTTATTGTGGTGTGGTGTGTGTGTGTGTGTGTGGGGGGGGGGGGGTTGACAACCATTATTGGCATGAGTATATGTTCTGTTGACATGTCTGAAATAGCAATTGCTGGAATATATTGCTAATAGCGGCGTAAAACCATATTCACTCACTCACTCTACACATCCATAATATTCTCTGATTCTATCTCAAAGTAATGTGAATATAATTAGTCATGTAATGAATACTGAAGGTTCATTTAATATATGAAAGCAATAACATCAATACTTGAAACGTTAAGGCTTCCAGTGTTAAAACTGCCGAATGCTATGGTTGCCACGGCCTGTCCGTGCTTTACCACGGTAGTATTGACGTTCGACCCTGAAACATGAAAGTTTTTATCAGGAGTGTAACTTAAAGACAAACAATGTTTATGGCATTATGGGGACAATTACACACTGGTGTGTGTGTGGTATGGTGTGTGTTTGCTGTTTTATAAGGCGTGGCGTGGCGTGAAGTGGCGTGGCGTGCCGTGCTGCGGTGTGCCGCGGCGTAGCGTGTCCTGGTTGGTGTGCGTTTGATGTTTTGTGCAATCTGGTGTGGCGTGGTATAAACTCGTGCACTGTGGTCCGCAGTGTGGTATCGGATGGTGAGGTGTGGTGTGGTTATTGTGGTGTAGTGTGGTCGGCAGTGTGGTGTTGGATAGTAATGTGTTGTGTGGTTATTGTGGTGTGGTGTGGTCGGCAGTATGGTGTCGGATAGAGAGGTGTCCAGTGGTTATTGTGGTGTGCTGTGGTCGGCAGTGTGATGTCGGATGGTGAGGTGTGGTGTGGATATTGTGATGTGGGATTTTCGGCAGTGTGGTGTCGGATAGTGATGTGTGGTCTGGTTATTGTGGTGTGGTCGGCAGTGTTGTCTCGGATAGTGAGGTGTGGTCTCGTTATTATGGTGTGGTGTGGTCGGCTGTGTGGTGTCGGATAGTGAGGTGTGGTGTGGTAATTATGGTGTGGTGTGGTCGGCAGTATGCTGTCGGATAGAGAGGTGTCGAGTGGTTATTGTGGTGTGCTGTGGTCGGCAATGTGATGTCGGATGTTGAGGTGTAGAGTGGTCATTGTGGTGTGGTCGGTAGTGTGGAGTCGGATGGTGAGGTGTGGTGTAGTTATTGTGGTGTGGTGTGGTCGGTAGTGTGGAGTCGGATGGTGAGGTGTGGTGTAGTTATTGTGGTGAGGTGTGGTCGGTAGTGTGGAGTCGGATTGTGAGGTGTGGAGTGGTTATTGACGTGTGGTGTGGTCGCATGTGTGGAGTCGGATGGTGAGATGTGGTGTAGTTATTGTGGTGTGGTGTGGTCGGTAGTGTGGAGTCGGATGGTGAGGTGTGGAGTGGTTATTGACGTGTGGTGTGGTCGGATCTGTGGAGTCGGATGGTGAGGTGTGGTGTAGTTATTGTGGTGTGGTGTGGTCGGCAGTGTGGTGTCGGATGGTGAGGTGTAGTGCATTATTGTGGTGTGGTGTGGTCGGCAGTGTGGTTTTGGATGGTGAGGTGTGTTCTCAATATTGTGGTGTGGTGTGGTCGGCAGTGTGGAGTCGGATGGTGAGGTGTGGTGTGGTTATGTGTGGTGTGGTGTGGTCGGTAGTGTGGAGTCGGATGGTGAGGTATGGAGTGGTTATTGTGGTGTGGTGTGGGCGGCAGTGTGGTGTCGGATGGTGAGGTGTGGAGTAGTTATTGTGGTGTGGTGTGGTCGGTAGTATGGAGTCGGAGGGTGAGGTGTGGTCTGGTTATTGTGGTGTGGTGTGGTCGGCAGTGTAGTGTGGGATGTAGAGGTGTGGTGTGAATATTTTGGTGTGGTGTGGTCGGCAGTGTGGTGTCGGATGGTGAGATGTGGTGCGGTTAGTGTGGTGTGGTGTGGTCGGCAGTGTGGTTTCGGATGGTGAGTGTGTTCTCAATATTGTGGTGTAGTGTAGTCAGCAGTGTAGTGGGTCTCTGAGGGGCCAGGGCACTTGTCATTTTGGTGTAGTGTAATTACAAGCAGTGTGGTGTCTGGATGGTGTTTGAAAATGTGGTACAGTTGTTGTGGTGGCTGTGCTGAGACATGGCAGTGTGTGGTTTCGGACAGTGGGCAACCTCTAATGTTGCAGTAATTGTCAGACAGATGGATGAAGGGTGGGGTGGATCCTTTGTGATATTCTGTGTTTAGCAGTGTGGTATGGATGGTGAGAATCTAGTATGGTGCATGTAGTGTAGTGTTGTTAGTATGATATGGAATAGTGAGAGTGTAGACTAGTTATTGAAGATGTTGTAGGCCAACGTGTTATCAGTTGTGAGATATTGGTGGGTGTGGAAGTACTTAATCCCATAAGTAGAGTGTCTCAGGAAGGTATAGTGGCATTGCTTGACATGAAGTGCTAGTCCAGCAGTGCTGACTGTGCAGTGTAGAAATTAGAGTAGGTATTGTAGTGTGTTGTGGTCCTGTGAATTCCTAGATGGTGTGGTAGGTTATTGTAGAGCTGTAATTAAGCAGTGAGGGACTCATGACAGAGTGAGAGTGTAGAGTAGTTATTGACATGCATTCTTTCTACAGTCAAGATGGCATTGAAATGTGTACAATTTATTGCTTGAGTATGTTGTAGTCTAACTAAATGTGGGGAAATGGTAAGGCTGTAGTATGTGATAAATATGAATAACTCAGATAGTGCAAGAAACACAGACCCCATGTGTTTCTGTATGAAACCAAGCATTGTTTAAATAAAGCCTTCTATGCTAAATGACCTTCTAAACATGTAGAATAGGATGTGAAGTGTAAATTATGAATTAATACAGTGTGTTGTAGTCAAGTAGTAAGTGCCAGGCTACTTCAGGTATGGCCAGTATCTAACAAAGTATGTTATAGAATACATAATGTAATTATTATTATTAGCAATCCCAGCAAATAAATATCCCAGATATTTGAAAATGTAAATTAATTCCCTGAAATACTGTAGTCAGCAGTGTGAGAGTCAGATGAAAACTCCATGCGTTATTGTGGTGTGGTGTGATCCCAGCAGTAGGGCATGTAGACCCATTGGTAAATAGTTACTGTGATATTGTGCATTATTTATTGACATGGAACTAGATAGTTAGGAGTATTAAAATAGCTACTATGTCCTATGTAGTCAGCAATGTGGTATCCAGATAGTATAAAATCTGTTCATGTATGAGTAATAGTCCCATGAGCCTGAATAGTAAAGTAATTATTGTGGTATGATCAGCAGTATGAAATCCAGATAATTGCAGAGTATGAAGTAATTAATAATGGAAATTATGTCAGATAATACAATCAAGAATGCAAAAGTACCATTCACTATGTAATGCTATCTCCAGTATCCAGAGAAAGTAAAAGAGATTAATAGTCTAATTCTTCAAGGCATATGGTCAACAAAATTGTGACATCAGAATATTGAGAATTATTTTAATTCATGTAATTGTAATTAGTAGTCCCTTAATTAGTTTTAGAATACATATTAATATTTAAGTGTGAGTATTTATCAACAATATTAAGTCAAGATAGTGAGAATTAATGAATTATGGTGTGCTTGATAATTAATAAGTGGTAGAGTGGATGGTAGAATGAGGTGTTTGTGTGCTTGGCATGTGGTATCTGGACCAGTGTTATGCAGGTGTGGTGTAGTCAGTAGTAATGGTATCAGATAGAAATGGTACAAATGTGGTAGTCAGCAGATCATGAGAGTCTGATAGGTAGAAGTAATTGTAGTGTGGTGTAGTCAGCAATGTGACAATAAAAGATGAGTGAAATTGTTATGTGGTTATTGTATAGTTTGATTAGCAAGTGTGATCAAGATAGTGAGAGTGTGATGGATTATTAAGTGTACTATAGCTTCCTGAGAAACATTATCCAGATAATGGTGAGGTGTGGTGTGAATTTATTGTGGTGTGGTGTGAAAGGTCTGGCAGTGAGAGTCAGATGGTAAAGGTGGTCGATAGTTATTACCAAACATTCAAACTTCATGTGGGCGATCCAGACTAAAGTATAATTAGATTTATTGTGGTATGTTGCTTGAATGACAGTGTGGAGTCGAGGATGGTAGAACATGGTGAATAGGCCAAGTATGAGACATGGATAGGTGAGAAGTGTGGAGTTGTTGCTTGTTGGCAGTGAACAGATGAATTGTGTTTTCTCCATCTAACCCATGAG